ATCTACTCTGAATGTCACTCATAGCTATCTACACTAACCCTGCTAAGTCTACACTAATCTGCTGGGCAGCGATGGCTGCTTCCCTCCAGCGCCCAGCCTTCTCTCCTCCTTTAGCGCATCTCCTTCCTCCAGCGCTGCTCCTGCCTGACTAACGCACAAGTGCACCAGCACTTCCACGTATTGAATGCCAGAGGAGATCTGCCGTGGAATGAGGCTGGCTGCTCCTTAAGTAGTGCTGGCCTCTTCACGTTGGGTCTGCATTGGCTCAGTTCGGCCTGTCCTTTTGTCCCAGACCCTGCATTGCATGTGTCCCAGAGCACTCCCAATGAAAAGCAATTGCTGTTGAGGCCTCACGGCCCGAATCTGAATTTAGAAGTCTGGATCTGACAGCCCCTACGACTCAGACCAGCCACTGGGACATAACTGTTGACTTTCTTTTGAAAGGTCACATCTTAGACGAACAGACACCAGCTTTGTACATACAGACACAACCTTTCCTCTGTTCACGAACAGGCACAATGGCTACTCGTACAGACACACCTTATTCACTGTCTCTTATACACATCTAGATGTGTATAAGAGACAGCTACACAACTGCTGGCGAACAGGTAAGTCTTTTGACAATGCCCTTTGCTTCAGGATGTGCCCGTTGGTAAAGAACTTGGACTCTTGACCTGCTTTTCACGTTTCTGAGCCCTGGCGAGATACCTTTTCAGGCTGCTTTACTTTTACATGGCCCACGTTGCTTAGTTACAAGGCCTGAGGCCTACATTGGGTGAAAAAGGCCCTTTCAGTTTTATTGCAGTATTGGAAATTAGGGGTACAAAAATTTTGGTTTTCGATCAACTTGGGAAATTCGAACGTTTTGGAACCGTAAATCCGGAAATTCCGCCGAATCACATAAAATTAGGGTTGGGCCCGAAATTTTCGCGAAATCTTTTTTCCTCCCCTTGTTGGAGAAATTCCGGAAACGAATTTAGGCCTTTAAAAATCGGATTTTGACGGTGGAAATTCCCGAATTTCACGTTTTTTGAAAATTCGAGTGTTTTTTCTCCGGATTTTTTCCGAAATTTTTTTTGGCAAATTAATCCGAATCTGACCCTCAAAATTGCGACTTCCGGGGAGTTCACTAATTAACGGTGAACTCCCGGACCATAATTGATCTCAACGGATACCTAATCTTGATAACAATTCAAATTCGTTCATTATCATTATTGCAAATATTGTTTTAATTGATTATCATTACGAAATCATTATTGCAAATATTGTTTTATTGATTACCATTAAGAATTATTATTTCGTTATTAATCATTAATTAATTCTATTGATTAAATAATTCGTTATTTTTTTCTTATTACGAATTTTTGAGTTGTTTACGGGAAATTTATTTTTTCTGTTTTGATTAGGTGTCTACAGTCCATCAGTGGGACAGGGGACTGTATGCGAACTGTTTGATTGTTCTACCCCTGTTCCCACTCTCCCTACCCTCTCCGTACTCTGTGACCACCGGGACCTCTCAAGACCACATCAGTTCGCACTGATGTCGATGGTACAGGACACCGGGGCACTGCCACGACGCAGTGCCAGGCTTGCAGTTCGTGCCCGCCCTGTGGTACCTCCACAAACCAAGGCTCAGCAACAGCGACTCAGCAAGCGGAAGACTCCAGCGGCATCGAGTACAGCAATGACAGTACCGGTTACCACCGGGATTCTTCCCGCATGCCCGGTCCAAGGGGCCAGTGAGCCGTTGGCGGCTTACCTTCAGCGGGTACAGGCATTCACGGATGCCGTAGCTACCGCAAAGGCACAGGAGGAGGCAGCAGAGGCGGAACGTCAGCGGCTGGCCAGTGAGGCGGCAGCCCAAGCTCAGCGGACTGCTGAGGCTGACGCCGTGGTGCGAGACCAGCGGAACGCCATTAGCATGGAGTCCTTGACTGTGAATGAGAGTCAGTGGACGACACTGCTCCAAGGCATGCTTTTTGTGCCTTCGGATACACAGGCGGATCCGACACCGGCGGAGGAAGAAAGGAGCAACCTGGCTAACCTGATGTTGAATATGATGCAAGCGGTCATGTGGACCAATACGATGTCAATGGTGCAAATACACGAGGGCAGACAGCTGCCACAGATTCAACAGAATGATTCTGCAGCCTTAACAGCTGCTGCTCGCGCGGCCGCCACACATCAGCAGCAACAGCAACAGCTGTTGAATTCCACTCTCACGCGCATCAACAGCATCGAGGCTAAGGCCTCAGCAGCGCCAGGCTGCACGACAGACGCGAGGAAGCAACTCAATGAGCGCATCGATCACATCGTCACCATCATTGGCGAACTAGGTGATTTCACCAGTCCGGCCACGATCAGCAGCACGGTGGCCGCCATCAAGACGAGCATCACCAACCTGCAGACAAGACCGGACGCCGCTACAAAGAATTACAAGATGCCGCACTTCGACATCAGCAAGTTCGACGACTACAACAAGTCGGACGCCTTGACATGGTGGCAACGTTTCCTCACGGAAGCATCCTGCCGCACTGTCCCGGCTGACGACATGATGAAGGCGCTCTACTTACAACTGATTGGAGGAGCGCAGGCCTGGATGAACCTTCTGACGGCTACCAAGAAATGCACCATCGCCGAACTCCACACGCACATCCCGTGGAAGGAGTTCGAGAACCTATGGTTCACTCGGTTCATGGTCCGCAACGTCGTGAAGCCGGCCATGAACGAGGTGTACACCTGCTCTCAAGGGAATATGCCAACTCGAGACTGGACAACCAAGTGGCAAAAGATAGTGACCACGCCAGGCTTCGATTTGAGTTTTACGAATCAACGATCCGAGTTCTTCTCGCGATCATGCGCAGGACTGCGAACCGCACTCAGCAACGAGTACGATTACGCCTCATTCCAGGCTATCCTGGATCGTGCGAACTTGGTCATCCAAACGGATGACAAGGCCGCAAACGAACGGCAGTCCCAGCCGCATTATGTGGCTAAGCCAGGCTATCAACGACCGGCACATAACAATGGCGTGATTTCTGACGAAACAGTCAATCTCCACGCTGCAGCAGCATCCTCGAGTGATGGAGGAATTGTAGCAGCGCTCCCGCCGAAGCGTCCCAAGAGAGTTCGGAAGAACAAGGCGACACAAGAGACGGCATCGACGGGAACTGGGCAGCAGCCGTGGACGGCATACAAGACAACTTAGGAAGTATTTGACTTACGTCAACGGTACGGTTATTGCCTATGGTGCAATAGTGTCGTACACACTACCGCACAATGCCCGGACAAGGGCAAGGCACGCGTACCCCGTCCAACGAACTCGGGAAACTGAGTTACGCAAGGAGAGGGGCGACGCCTCTCCTCACTCCGCTGGAACCGGTTGCCTTGCTAGCAATCGATGTCACTACCGGGGAGCATGCGTTAGTCGCTGATTCTCGTGCTATGTACGAGGATTATGCCGCCCAGCTGGTACCACCACTAGACCAGCCGAGCCACGTGCACTTAGATTGCGTATGCGCAGCCTGTACACCGTCGGCAAGTGATCCGGTCAGTTCGCCTCTGATTTCCGAGGACTCGACGGCATGGTCAAGACTGGAGGAGCTTGACCCGCTCACGAGAGAGGACTTCGCTTGGATGCCTCTACCCTCGACCGGAACCTTGCCAAGGCCGCATTGCAACACCTTAATGGCAAATCTATGCTCCTATTTGCACACTACAGTACCAGCTCAGTTGACGGACGACGGGGTAGCGGTTGTTGATCTCCGCTCCTATCTTGCGAAGATTGACCGCGAGTACGCCACCCAAAGGTATGCCGAAACCGACGCGCCTTTGCTCTATATCCGCATTCAAATCGGAAAGGCAACCTGTAGTGCCTTGATTGATTGCGGAGCGTCTCGCAACTTCATGAGTCAAGCCTTTATGGCCCGTGCAGGTCTTGGCCCGCGCGTTCGAAGGACGATGCAACCTACGCAAGTTACACTCGCGGACGGACGCACGCAAAAGTCAATTGACCGATGCGTCAACAGCGTTCAAGTATACTTTGCGCCACTTGCGTGCGAGCCGGTGTCTTTTGACATCCTCGACACCAAGTTCGACATGATTCTAGGCATGTCTTGGTTGCGTAGCGCCGATCATCCGATGAACTTTCATGCACGAACCGTTCACATCCGTGATTGGAACGGAATGCTAGTCCCATGTACGGTCGCGACCCCTCACACTTCGATTGCTTATCACGTGGTTTCCGTTGCGAGAATTCGCGACGCCATTGCTCGGAATGACGTCGAGGAGATGGGCCTTGTATTYTTGCATGCTCTCCCCTCGCCGGACGGACCAGYCGCGTCRCCRCCGGACCCACGCATYWCTCACCTCTKKGACGAGTATRGAGACGTCTTCGAGGCTCCCACCGGAACGGTTCCGSATCGGCCCATACGTCACGGGATCACTCTCGAGGTTGGCGCCGTCCCTCCGCGTGGATGTATCTACCGCATGAGCGAAGAGGAACTCGAGGTGCTTCGCGCACAACTCGATGACCTTCTCGACAAGGGCTGGATTCGCCCTAGTTGCTCGCCATACGGTGCCCCTGTTCTCTTCGTCCGGAAGAAGAACAAAGATCTACGGGTATGCATCGATTATCGCAAACTTAACGCACAAACCGTAAAGAACGCCGGCCCTCTCCCTCGAATTGACGATCTCCTTGAGCGGTTAGGCGTCACGACGTACTTCTCGAAGTTGGACTTGAAGTCGGGTTACCACCAGATTGAAATCCAGTCTCAAGATCGGTACAAGACCGCGTTCAAGACGCGGTACGGGCATTTTGAGTGGGTTGTCATGCCCTTTGGCCTCACCAATGCCCCCGCGACTTTCCAAGCAGCTATGACGACGGAGTTTCGCGACTTGCTCGATCGCAGCGTCCTCATCTACCTCGGCGACATCTTGGTTTATAGTAGGACGTTGGACGAGCACATCGTACACCTTCGCGCGGTTTTGGATCGTTTGCGACTGGCCAAGTACAAAGCGAATCGCGACAAGTGCGAGTTCGCCAAGCAGGAGCTTGAGTACTTGGGACTTTTTGTCACGCCGAAAGGCATTCGTCCCTTAGCGGACAAGATCCAAGCCATCGTGGATTGGCCTGAACCCCGTTGCACGACGGATGTACGCTCTTTCATGGGTTTGCCTGGATATTATCAGCGATTCGTCGAGTCATACTCGAAAGTGGCCGCTCCTTTGTCGAGACTTCAGTCCCCGAAGGTGCCCTTCGAGTTCGACGACGCAGCCCGTGGCGCGTTCACTACGTTGAAGGCAGCGATGCAAGCCGCACCTGCCCTCCGTATATACGACCCCACCCTGCCCACCCAAGTGACTATGGACGCTTCGGGATACAGTATTGGTGCGGTGTTGGAACAGTGTCACGAGGACGGTTGGCATCCGGTCGAGTATTTCTCCCAAAAGGTGCCTCTCGTCAACACTCTCGACGATGCTAGGAAGAAAGAGCTACTCGCGTTCGTCACCGTTCTCAAACGGTGGCGCCACTTTCTTCTCGGCCGTCGACGTTTTAAATGATATACGGACAACAATCCGTTGACCTTTTACAAAACGCAGGATACGGTCACTAGTACGATCGGTCGATGGATGTATTACATCGACCAGTTCGACTTTGACCCGTGCCACATTCCCGGTCCCGCCAATCGAGCTGCGGACGCCCTCTCATGACGGCCCGACTTGTGTGCCATTGTGACCACGGCATTCGACCTCGATGACGATCTGCAGCCGCATTTCGTCAAAGGCTACAAGTCCGATCCGACTTACTCTACACTTTACGCGGAGCTCTCATCGGATCACCCGCCGGCTAGCCACTATCGGATTTCCGACGGGTTCCTTCTCCTTCACACGAGAGGAAAGCACTTGTTAGTTGTGCCCCAAGATCGCATCTTACGGACTCGTCTTCTCGGCGAATTCCACGACGCACGACTTTCGGCACACCTTGGCGTAAACCGCACATTAGCACGCCTCCGCCAGCGTTTTCACTCGCCCGACGTCCTTCATGACATCACGAGGTACATTGAGTCATGTGCGGTTTGCCACCGTAACAAAGGTTGATCTCAAGTCCCCTTCGGCGAACTGAAACCATTGCCGATTCCTCGGGCACCGCGCCTCTCCATTGCTATGGACGTGACAGGCCCGTTCCCCCGCGATCTCCATGGCCATGACGGTATTCTCACAGTCGTTGACCGTTTGAGCAAGTATGCTCGCTTCCTTCCTTGCAAGTATCATGCTGCAGCACCCGAGCTCGCACGACTCTTGCACACCGGTTGGATTACCAACCAGGGTGTTCCGAAAGACATAGTGAGCGACCGAGATACTCGCTTCATGTCGGCCTTTTGGACTTCCCTCATGGCTGAGTCCGGTACGACAATGACGTCGAGCTCGGCTCGGCACCCGCAGACGGATGGCCAGACGGAACGAGCGCACCAAACTGCTCAGATGATGTTGCGTACACTCATCCGTCCCGACCAGAAAGATTGGGTTGACCAGCTTCCCGACATTGAGTTCGCCTACAACACTTTGGTGCACCCGACGATCTGCGTCACACCATTCGAGCTACATCATGGTGGAGAGAAAGCACGGATCTTCGCTGATCTCCTTTTGCCACAGGCTGCCGACATAGACGTCCCTTGCTCTCCCGCTTCCGTTCGGAAGTACCGGGACTTGCTGATCAAAGCCCGCGCGAATATGCAAAAGGCTCAGATCTGCATGCAGCAGCAGGCTAACCGACGTTGACTTCCATGTCCTTTCCGCGAGGGAGACCTTGTTTGGGTCCTCTCCGAGGAATTTGCGCTCGAGCAGGACGTTTCGCGCAAACTCCTTCCGAAATGGTTTGGACCATGGGAAGTTACTTCTGCCGTTAGATGGCCAGCTTCGACGCATGGACGACCCGGTGCACTGGAAGGTGCGAAGGAATGACACTCGGTAAATCTCCAGTGCAGACTTGCAGACTTCTGCACCCCTCATCTTCGCCGATTATGAGAAACGACGCCTTGCCAAGGAAGCGGCTCGTCCCACCCGACCCATCCCGGTATCGGACAGACAACTCCGCCCTCGCAAGTAGCTCGGTCTTTTAAGAGGGGGAGTGTGTTACATCTTCGATGCCACACGGGTCCTACCGGACCCGACTTAGGGCTAGAGGGACACAGTAGGGCCTAAGGGCCCGACCTTGGGATTTATCAAGCCGTAAAGGCGACATTTTGGACCAGACCAACGGGCAGGCCCAAACGACATTCTCGTTTTGGGCCTGGCGGTGCTTTTGAGCAGGCCGCCCGTCGATCTGATCTGAACCGTCGATCTCGACGGTTCAGGTCACGGTCAGGCCTCGCAGCATTGAGGCCGGCCTCTTGGCCACCGGTACTTATACCGGTACCGGCCTCACTTCGGGCATCGAACCACCGGCAACTCAGCGGTGCGTTATGGTTAGCGCCAGAGCGCTAGCGCTATTCTTAGCGCAGGAGTACGAGGAACAGCGGCAGCAGCATTAGCGCAGCAGCGGCAGCGAGCGGAGCAGCAGCGGCGGCGACTGAGCATATCGGCGGCCATAGCCGCCTGAGGTATCGGGAGCCGGGGGTTCTCTCCTCCTTCCCGTCGCCAGTCCCCTCTCTCTCTCTCTCCTCCTCGACTCCCTTCTTCTTCTTCTTCTTCTTCTTCTTCTTCTTCTTCTTCTTCAGACTTCATTCTTCTTCTTCTTCTTCTTCAGATTGGAGACTTATACTAGTTGGACAGAGATCAGTGTTGGACTTCGGTGGTATGAGGCTGTGGTACTTACCGGGTTCGAGACTTGGAGATTGTTGGGGATGATACTCGGYTGCATCACAKATTGGACACCGGTTACATTAGGACTCTGTATCTCCGACATTGKTGACKTATTGTCCRCGACAYTTGATCTTGTTCGATGACATTTTGGATTACCATATCGGTGACCTACTGGTTTCTATCTCGGTGACATCTGGTGCTACCTACATCTCCCACCTCCTTCGTCTCTCCTCCCACATTTCATATGTGTATGTGTGTACGGGGCTGAGCATCGTCTATGAATGGCTCAGACCCCATCATCTCACGATTGTATGTGTGTGGAGTGATATCTATGCGAGTCAGTCTATGTGAGTCAGTCCGTTTATCAGACTTCCGCTGCATACATGCTCATCCTATATTGGTTGATCTTTGGTTCTGCCCCGTGCTCATGGATACTTTCACGAGTATGTAACAGGGACCTTGCCCCGGGTCTAGCGATTTGAGCCTACGGTAGTCCGATGTCCCACCTGAGTCGTCCATGCGCGTATCCATAGCAAGGTCCCACTCACCCAAATTATTTGTTTTCAGTTGTTGAACCTATTTATAATCCGCGGCGAGAAACAAAGAACCCACGTGCTTGAGACCTATTGCGACCTTCAACTCCCACTACTCAAAAATATATGGTGCTTGTCTGACCTTTCCGCCTAACCTGTGACCGCATGAGCCTGCCCATATAACAGCACCACATTCATTGCTACCTTTTAAAAGAAGACACCTAGCGTCTTCAGTCGAACAGCATGCCCTCTCATCATGAATGTGTCTATAAGCTATGTCTACAACTGGACGTAGCCATGATAAGGGTGCTATGTGTTCAGGGGACGAAGTAAGACAGACACATGCAGCCGCAGTAATCCACGTCGAGATCTACACACCTGCATACAGTTTTGACGGGGCGGTCCAAGACTGGGCAGAACATGCCCGACATCAACAGAGCGGTTAGGTCCAGTACCTATACTCATTTTTCGTTGACCATTGCAATCGGATGTCAGAGATGGAGAACCCCGTTAAGCGGTGGAACCTCACCCCAGAAGTGAAGTTAGGGCGTACTCACACCAGCAGTATCTCAAATGCATCTAACAGCATTCACAGCCATACCTGGATGTATTCTGGATGCAATTCTGTCCAAAAATACGGAAAAAAGTCCTAGTGCTCATATGCCCTTAGAGCAACCTCACCCCAACAGTCAGAGCAACATCACCCCAGGAGTATATAATCCATGAAGTGAGAGCACAACATTCGAGGAGTCTGGCTTAGCTATTTGAGGAGTCGGCCTCAGCTTGCTTTCCCTTATCCTCTACGAGGTCCATCCCGTACAATCCCACACTGTATCCCATAGCACCTTAGTTAGCCTGCTCTGGTAGGCTAAAAATAGCACCGGTGCTAAATGCAGCTACTAGAGCACTCCAGATGTGCCTAAGCATGTTCCCATTACATCTCTCTCTCTCTCTCTCTCTCTCTCTCTCTCTCTCTCTCTCTCTCTCTCTCTCTCTCTCTCTCTCTCTCTCTC